CCAGGTGAATCGTCCGTACGTATTCAGACCAAGTACCGTTTGTGCACTACACAATTGTAGTGGCTGACTGCTGGCAGCCATCTTGATTGTTCAACTAACCACTATCATTTCCCCCTTTTCCTCGCATAGGCTATGCAGGCGGAGAGAATCACCTCAAGGTTTAGAAGCTGAATAGACCAATCAGGACCGCCCAAACCACCAATGAAAGTCCCAGAGAACTCCGATTGGCTGCTATGTCTTCCCCAGAATTTTCCCCTATATATACCCATGTACAGTTTTATAATGCGCATGTGTTTCAAGTAAATTAGACGTTTCTCCACTCCTCTGTCTTCTGCTGAGTGTTGTGGTATCGTGAGGCGTTGAATACTCGATCCGTGTCGTTCCTCATTGCAGCTAGTCGCGTGTTACAAGTTTGGCACCCACGGGGGGAAGAAAACGACTAACATCCTGCACAAAGATGTTTGAATTTTCCAGTCCGGCAAAAAGATTCCCCCCATTGTTCGGTCCGTTTGCAGAAGTAGAGGCGAAGATGGAAACCGCGTCGCTTCATGAACGGATCCCACCGCTCATGGCTCCAGAGAAATTGGTACCTGGAGAAGATTTCGACGTTTCGGAATCGCAGATACTACGTTATGTTCGCAATATTCCATCACCATTTCGGGCAGATGCGGTGATTAATCTGCTAATGAGGGAGAATTAAAAGTCAGTAAAGGACTTCAACCTCCCGGACGATGTGGATAACCTTCTGGTGACCCTGAGGTGGAGACTGGCGGGACCAAAAACGTCATTAGAATATTGGGAGGAGTTCTACGTGCGACAGCAACGACCTGAGGAAAGTCTGATGAACGATATGGGGTCCGTGCTGGGTTGGCATACACCATGTATACGCACTTCACCTTTTCTGGATCGGTTTCTGGCTGGGCTCCGGGAACCCAGAGCCAAAGATGAACTACAACTACGACCACCAAAAGACCTTGCCGCCGCAGAGTCAATTGCCGACATCCTGGACCGGAACGGGCACCTGGTAAGGCAACCTCAAGGAGTTTTCCCTGCAGGTTTCAGCCAGGAAGGGAGAACACCAACCAGAGAAAATGGCGAAAGGAAACCCTCAATGGTACCCACATGCTACACCTGTCGTCAAACCGGACATACCTCGCGATTTCGTGGGGAGCGTGGAGGTTCGAATAAGTCCACACCAAAAGTTGTTTATGCTAATAATTTCACTACTATGAGTATGGACGCGGGATTACCCTTTGTTGAGGTAAAGGTGGAGGGCAAAGTGTTAATTGCTTATTAGATTCCGGGTCGGTCAGCAGTTTGATAAGTGACAAGGAGACTGTTTGGAAGTCCAAGGACAACCAATCGAAGGAGACTCCATTGGTCGCAGTAAATGATTCACCGCTAACCGTAAACGGGAGGGTGGGTTTGACATTGCGAGTAGGCAAACAGAAAGTTCATCACTGATTCGCGGTTGTAGAGGACCTCCCGGTTGCCATTGTGTTGGGGGCCGACTTTCTACGGAGGACCAAGAGTATCATTATTCTGTGTACACAGCGGGTCTCAATAGGCGGTCCCTGGGTGAACTTTAAGATGGAACAGAAGGATATGAGTTCAAACATATACGTGCAAACAGAGAATCCAAAGGCTGCGGAGTCGGAAAAAATCTGGTAGCATCCGTTTCTAAAAGAATTCATGGGAGACCCAAACTCAGTTCCGAAACCTAGTGCAAGAATACCACTCAGTCTTTGCGTGGGAAGGGGAACCACTAGGTAGAATCAAGTTGGTTCACCACAGAAGACACAAGACCAATCCAGCGGGCACCACGATGCANCGATGCATATACATCCACCGGTAAACAGAGTTGAACAACCTAATAGAAGAGATGCTTCAGCAAAACATTCTTAGTCCGTCTAAATCCCCTCGGGCCTCGCCAGTGGTCTTGGTTAAGAAGAAGGACGGGTCGTTACGCATGTGCGTGGACTATCGGAAGCTGAATGCAGTCACACATAAGGACTCGTTTCCGCTCCCTAGCACTGATGATACGCTGGACGCACTGTCTGGTTCTAAATGGTTTTCTACTTTGGATCTTGCATCGGGGTATTGGCAGGTCGAGGTGGACCCCAAAGATCGAGAAAACACGGCTTTTGCGACCCTTACTGGTCTATACGAGTTTAATACCATGCCCTTCGGATTAACGAACGCACCCTCGACGTTTCAAAAATTAATGCAAATAGTCTTAACCGGTTTGTCACGAGGGAAATGTGTATTTTGCTTAGACGATATCGTTATCACCGTTGGCTCGATAGATGATCACCTATAACGGCAATCCGAACAACGTTCTATACGAATCGCAGTATCTCGAACTCGATTGACCAAATTTCCAGCACCTAGGAAAACAGTTGAACGAAAGTTGAAATTTCGTTTCTATTATGGGCATACATTAAAACATATTTGTGACTTACGAAACCGTCGTAGATCCCAGGTACAGAACGGCAAACAATTGATAAAATCACGGAGCGAGACCGCAAAAATACCGAGCGGGTAATGAGGAGGCCGCTTAAAACAACTGTTAAATTTTCAGTTCATAAAAGAGAAAGAAGAGATAAGAAAAAGGAGATAATGGACTTAGCAAAGTATTGTGTACGAAAACTTTCGAAAACCATCATACCACCCGCCAATCGCGCAGCAATTTCTTGTCGTTTACTGCATAAATTTGAAAAGGAATGTTTCCAATTGACATTCGAATAACTGCTTTTGAGTACCGCCCTGCGTCGCTTTTTGTAGACGCTTATCGGATAGTTGCTATTACCTCATTGTTCAAACGCCCGTCTCATCTAAGTCAAATGGTTAGACCATCAAGCCTGACTATGGTACCGGAGACCGGAGGAAAATATGTCGGTTTGAGTAAGAATCCACCAAAGTCGGTCAAATGCCTCGACTGGCCTGGTGTAGAGGAATCGGGGCACTACCGCTCGTCGGACGTGGACGACTTCAATCAAAAAATTATCGTGATATGAAATCGATCAGGCATATCTATCGATGAAGCTGGGTTTGGCTAACACGGGGTTTTCCTTTTCTTTGATATTTTTTGTGGAAAGCTAGTCACGCCGCTGACGACCACAAAATGCAGTCGTTGATAGTAATCCGTGGTGGTTACAAATTTGATGTTAATCGTAGCTAAATACCCCTTGGATGCCGATGAGGCACGATGTTCTCCATCTATTTTCGAGAATGATACTGCAATCAACCTGGTCATGCATTCACATTTACCGGGATTGATGACGACCTAAGCCATCAACCTGTAGAGCTAGCTTTTTGCCCGGTGGTGTAGCTCCCAATCAGTGACGGTAAGAGTAATAGCAAGTTTAAGATGAAGCATAAAACATAAAACAAGAATAAATGGTCAATGACTGTTTCGACTCCGTGACGCTTCACATGCGGGTTTTGCAAGCCGGTATTGTGTATGATATCAGGAATACTTGTGAGTCCGTCAATCAAGTTTGAACAGCTTGAGGGCTAATAAACCCGAATGTTCATTAACCGAATATGGAGCCCAAGTGTTCCGTGTCGATTAGGTTGCCAACAAACCCAATTGTTCATTAGTAGAATATGTTCAATTATGGTCCGTTTCGCTCCGAGTTATTCATTTCCAAATTAATAACTGCTGATTGCTTTCGTGAATTCGCTGTTTCTTGTTAAAGTGTCAAAGCATCATAATTTGGCTCAAATGTTTCAGTCAACTTGAATAGCCAAACATTCTGGATTATGTGTGTTTGTCGATTGTCAAGTGCGTGATGTTACAGAAAGTGTTGGTTTTGAAGTAACGAAATGTTTAGAGATATAGACGTAAAGCGAGAAGGGCATATTGGTGATGAACGTGAAGAGTAAAAAATAGAGACCGAAGGTTCCATGATAAGCGCCAGTGATGAGGAATTGAACAGTTCGTCTCAATAAGCAGAAAAAGGAGAGGATTGTAAAATACAATACGCAAATAAACGTGTCATTTCCTGGAGTCAACCAATTACATGCTCGCCACTAGGAACATTGTCCAGGACCCCTTCTAAAAGACAGATATTTCTGACGTCTCTTAGGAACGATCCACTAGTGGCTTTTACCTCCACTTCTCTCACCATGCCATCCGTGCTCTTTCTAGTTTGTTGTATAAAACCCAAAAGCCACTCATTCTTGGGTTTGCTTTCCTTTACCACCATTACTAAATCTCCCGGTTGAAAGTCCCTCTGTCTTGTATACCACTTGGGTCTGATTTGAAGTAATGGCAAGTATTCCTTCGTTTATCGCTTCCAGAAGCAATTTGCAATATCCTGCACTTATCGCCATCTACGATTAAAACGGTTTAGCGTAGTAGTAGTTTTCACCTCATAACTCGAATTGCACCGCTCTATGTTCAGCATCATCTGTGGCGTGAGTGCCTTGCAAGCTTGCGGATCGACTGATTGTGGAACGAGCGGTCTATTGTTCATTTTCCGTTTGGCCTCTACCAAGGCCGTTAGTAACACTTCGTCGGTCTCCTGTTTTGCACTGAGGAGTGCCGTCAGTATTCTCTTTATTATCTTAATCAGCCCTTCCCAAACCCCGCCTCTATGGCTGGCGTTAGTATGGTTGAAGTGCCACTGTATCGCGTTCTTAAGGAGATGGTTATGTATTTTATCCTGAGGCCAAGATCGCAAAGAGGCCCGTCGTTCATTGGTCGCTCCGACAAAAGTCGATCCATTATCACTAATTATGTGTTCTGGCTTGCCTCTGCAAGCTATTAACCGGTCCAGGGCCATGATGAATGACTCCGTGGAGTATGAGTGCACTACCTCTAGATATACTGCTCTCATGGTCATGCAGGTGAAGATACATCCGTATCTGTTCTAGATGGATAGGTGCCGCTTAATATAAAATGGTCCGAAATAGTCTAGACCAGCCGAGTGGAATGGTGGCAATTGGCTACTCATTCTATTTATAGGCAATGGAGCCATTAGCTGACACCCTGGCTTACCCAGTTGCCTACAACAGTGAATGCATTTGCTCAGAGATCTCTTTACTGCTGCACCTCCTTTGGTTATCCCGAACGGCCTCCAAATTCCAGATAACACGTGCTCGGGTCCTGCGTGACCTTCCCTCTCATGAAAGTGATGTATGAGAAGTTCGGTTACATGTTGTCTTGGGGGCAGGATAACTGGGTGTCTTGCATCATGTGGCAATTACGCGTATTGCAGTCTACCACCAACTCAAAGCATTTCATTTACTAAAATTGGACACAATTTACGTAGGAGGCTACCCCTGTGCACGTGCCCCTTAGGGTCTAATAGAGAAACCTGATCGTTTTAAACCGATTTTGCTTGAACTAGACACACAACATTGTCGCATGCAAGCTTAATCTCTTCTGTCGAAAGTCTACTCACTCGTAGTGAAAAGGTATCTTTCTTTCCAAACATTACGTTGATATATTGTGTAAAGCGCCTCAACCAAGCTGCTGCTCGTAACAGCTTATAACATTGCAAATGATGAAAAAGTAAATTGACACTCATCGTGACGGTTGTTTGGTTGATAGTCACTGTGCGCTTAGGCTCAATCTGTCCTTCGATTTCTTCATCAGAGGCCAATTTGAATGGAGGAATCTCTTCTAAGCTCCTCAGGAATGGCGGCCCTCGGAGTCAACTTTCCCACTTTTGGTTTTCCGCCTTCAGACCGCGAGTGCCGTAATCTGAAGGATTAATTGTTCCCTTTACGTGATACCATTGCTGAGGTGTTGAGCTTTCATGTATCGGTTGGCTATAAATGTGCTATAACGAGCTGATCTGTTGCTTATTTAATAAAGAACAACCGTTGAATCAGTCCAGTAGAATATAGACCCCTTTGAAATATCCAACCCCCGGCTGATGGTATCACATGACTTAATAGCTACAACGGCAGCTGCCAGCTCTAGT